TTGTGCCCAGTAAATAAGTACCTTATTAAACCCGAGTTTATGAAACTGGGTCAGACGAGTCCCAATTATGTGTGAAGAACAAAGAGGTGGAAGGAATGTCACAGGACTTTAATTACTAGAAAGAAATCCAAATAGGAAACAAAAAATTAATTTAGCAAATGTTGTGGTAGTTTCAGTAGGCAAAAAAAAAAAAAAAAGCTTTTCCATGCATTATGGCAGCATCTGCCCATGGTCATCTACAAAAACATGTACTTTTTTGTTCAACCTTATATGAGTTTATTAATCTTAAAAACAAGTTTTATGGCTTAATTTACCACCAAAAATATTAACAATACTTTAATCTCAGGGTTACTCCCATGATTTAAATGTTTTTCCTATTTAATAGTTTCTTGAAGATTAGAATTTACTTGTACATCTACTATATGGCTTTAAGAACACTATTCTTGAGAATATCCCTTTTATAATAGAATGTCAAAATTAGATCATACTATACTCCTTAAATACACCCATTCATTCCATCTTTTCAATTCTATATCAGTGTAAGTTATCATCTTCTTCACTTTTTTCTGGATGTACAATTTTAATATTGAAGCTGAAATTATTTTTATCACTTCCTTTTAAAAAAATCTCCTAAAGTTGTAACTTAATGTGTCAGTAATTCATAAATTATTGTTTGCTTGTAGGAAAAAAATGACTATATATGTTAACAAATATGTATTTCATTATAAAATACCTCATGAAATCAATGTTATTATTTTCCACTTGAAACTATTTTTTATTCTCAATTTACAATATTAAGACATGTTGCAGTAGATGGATGAAATTTTCTACACAAAAAACTCATGTGATTCTGTCATTCAAGCTGCAGTCCATGTAAACAGAGGAAATCCTCATTTTATTTTTTTTATCATCCCTTCCATTTTTGAGAATTCAGGACTAAATGAATTTTAGGGAATGTTAAAGAGCAACAGAATGTGGGAGAAATTAGAAAAGGAAAATCACCCGTACAGGTAGAAAAGGACAGTTGCTAGAAAAGGACTGACATCAAGTCCACCTGCGATCTAATGAATTCTTAGTCCAGAGGAAGAGCAACTTACATGAGTTGATAACTCTGAACATTCACTTGTTGTTTGGCTTGTTCCAAAGTCATTGATTTTGAATAAAAACACCATGCATCTTATCCTCCTGTGGCCTCTAACTTGAACGAACTCTTGAAACTGCCAAACCTAACTGTATCTGTCTGTTCCTCCTTCAGTGCCAGTTTTAGGGTAGGGCTGATTTTTGGGATGCCTTCCAGTGTTAACATTCTGGGATCATCACTGAATCACTTTCTGTCAAGTTACAAGACACTTCAATGTGTCACATAACTGGAACACCAACTTGTCATGTAGCAATGTGTTTTTCCTTTATAAGACTCCAAAATCTATAGCAGCCTTAATTGAACTTGGATTTCAAATTCTTCCTTACCATGTCCAACACCTCTCCTTATTTGTTTCCTTGCAGTATTTGTATGGAAACTTATAAAGTATTTGAGTTAAAATTCTCCTACTTGGTATCTAGAGACAAGATTAGTTGGTATCTAGAGACAAGAAGTATCAAAAGAGTGAGCTGTTATTAACAAAAAATCAGGCCACATGCCAGGATCAGAAGTCTTATCTACATCCTACTGTATACTATCTTCTGTACCTACCATGTGAAAACCCAGTCTGTAATAGTAAAGGCAGACACTGTGAGTGCAAAAAGTCACATTCAACTGTTACCAACATGATAGGATAGGAAATAAAACATAGGGATCACCACTCTAAGCTGAAATGGAGGCATGCTGGTAATTGCGTAGCATCAGTAGGATGCATAGCATCAGGAAGCAGAAGTCTCTACTTCAAAACTGTCTTTGGTCTTTTGGCTGTGTTTTCACTTGTGGTTATAGAGATTTGTAAGAACTTTCAAAAATGAATAAAACACAAGGAATGATATGTGTTCCTTAGAAGTCAAATGAAACATTTCTAATTGGTAAATATTTAAACAAAAATGTTTGAGTTTAATAGAAACAAGGGTCACACTTATCTGATGGTTGACAGACTTTTTCAAGTCTATTGAAATTAAATATACTAACATATGGACTCAAATTATTATAAAGAAGAATGGACTGTAGTAAATTCTATTTAAGTGGCTTTTGTTGACATTTGGATGATGATGATGATGATTTTTTTATTTAAATAAATGTACAAAGAAGTTTAAATTCAGCACATCAATTTATGAATACAATGTATATTAATCAGTGTCACCCTTTCCAACTAGGTGATTATTAACTAAAAGAATATTCAAAGAGCCAAGATTGCAAAGAACCCTGATATCATAGGTGACAGAATAACTATTCAACAGATGTATAGGAATCAAAATTCAAAATCAATTCATTCTTTACATAAAGAAATGTGGGCAGCATATCTTTTAATTCTCTTCTAATAGATGTTGCTTCTGATAAAGTGGTAACGTTCTGAGTATTTTTTTTCTGTTGATCGTGAGGCTTGAACTTTGGGTTTGGACGCTGTCCCTGAGCTCTTCAGCTCAAGGCGAGCACTCTATGGCTTGAGCCACAGCTCCACTTCTGGTTTTCTAGTGGTTTTTATTGGAGATAAAAATCTCTTGGACTTTCCTGCCTGGGTTGGCTTTGAACCACTATCCTCAGATCTCAGCCTCCTGATTAGCTAGGATTACAGGCGTGAGCCATCAGCGTCCAGCTGTGGTGACGTTTTGAAAATGTTCAGTCTACCTTCTTAGTCTCTTCTCACTATTTGCCTATTTCAATTTTTTTTACTATCTTTAAGTAGTTGTACAATGGAAGTATCATTTAACAAAGCAGTTTGTGAATACAAGGCATCTTATCAATGGCACTGCCTTCAACTCACTCATTTTGAAAGCTAAAGACTGCTCATATCAAATAGGAAGGGAATTAAAAAATCTTATGTAGCTTACTATGTTCTATAAAGTGAATATATGTGATTTTCATGCTTATTATTACCTTGTGGAGGCCAGGAGATCAATGAAAAGTTCTTCACAATGGAGTCCTGGGGATTGAACTCAGGGCCTGGGTGCTCTATCATTTGAGCCACAACATCACTTCCAGCTTTTTCTGAGTTCTTTATTGGAGATAAGAGTCTTACAGGGACTTTGATGCTAGGACTGGCTTCCAACCTCAATCCTCAGACCTCAGCCTCCTGAGTAGCTAGAATTACAGGCGTGAGCCACTGGCACCTGGCTTAGATCTTTCCTTTCTTTCTTTTTTTTTTCTTCAAATTATTCTGACCACTTATATTCTAATCAGGCTTTAACTTGGAATTACTCATCATTTTTAATGGATTTCTGAGGTTTCTACCACCTGTGTGAAGTTCTGTGGGGGGAAAAACAGATCAATTATAATAATCTAGATACATTTGTTCAGCTGAAGTTATTGAAGATAATAACTTCTATGTTTATGAGACTATTTACAATGTTCTCCTAGCTAGGTCTTAGCCTGGTTGATAGAATAAGGACATGGCTTCATCAATATGACTTAAAGTAGATTGAATATTTAAGATGTGTTAGACACCCAGTCCTTTATGAATTATCTCATTTAATTCTCACATCAACCTTATGGATTTTTGTTCTGTTATTTGAATTTTTAGGACAACTAAGTGGTGATTCCCTCTGTGTAGACCTAGCATATGGTGGAGATAGAAATAGTGGTTTACTCAGCTCCATAAATTTAAGTTTTCAGTTTATTAGTACTGAGCTTCAACTTCTTACCTATCATTTACGCTTGGCTTTTTTGCTCAAGGTAGGCACACAACCACTTGAGTTATATCTCCATTTATGACTTTTTGATGGTTAATTAGAGATAAAGGACCAATAGAATTTTCTGTCCTGGTTGTATTTGAACTCTGATCTCAGACCAGCCCCCATTGCCCGGCACAAATCCAGTTTTTAAATATCACATAACAGTTAACTTCAGTTGTAAAGGCTACTTTTGTTAAAATAGGTTATGAATGGATTCATTAATTCCATTAAATCCTAAGAAAACAATCTTGGGTACAATATAACTTATTCCTTGTTCCAGCTAGCTGAGCTGCAGCATGAAGGAAAAAGGCATTTGGAATAAACCTATCATAGCATGGCCAGATTCATGTTTCTCCAGTTTTAAGAGGATGCAGTATAATCTCTTAAGCAACTGCAATCTAATATGTCATAAATCATGTTCAACCAGATGACAAAATAATCCTGGGAAGTAGCTTTGTTACCAGGTCTTAAGGATCTGTAGCAGCAATGCTGTGATTACAGGGTTTTACAATTTGCAATCAAATGTAAGAAATCTGCTTTAAATATCTCCTGAAAAAGTTGACGATAAAACCATAGTACCTAAAATAAGAAAATAATGGAAACACTATAAAACATTCTTTCTAATCTAGGGTACCTAGAGTCAAGTATTCTAAAGCAAAGAAATTCAGGTAAAGCAAATAAAAACAAACAAGCAAACAACAACAAAACAATCAGTTCAAAACCCCTTCACTGTTGTTTGATATGATTCGATTCTATTCTATGCTTCACTTTTTTTTTCCAGTCCTGGGGTTTGAACTCAGGGCCTGGGCCCTGTCCTTGAGCCTCTCTGTGCTCAAGACTAGCACTCTACCACTGGAGCCACGCCACGTCCAGCTTTTTCTGTGTATGTGGTGCTGAGGAATCGATCCCAGGGCTTCATGCATGCTAGGCAAGCGCTCTACCACTGAGCCACCTCCTCAGCCCTTAGGATTCACTTTGCATTCTGTGTCAGCCTTTACACAGTATTGGACTCCATGGCCAGAAAAGTGTGGCTTTCCTTGGGACCACAAATCTATACAGAAGGGGTTCTCACGTCTTCACAGAAAGATATCATAAAGCACTGGAGAAGAAAATAGGAACCCTGCGATCGTGGTGATTTTTGTAAGTAGCCCACCTCCCCACCTGGGCAGAGACAACCTAGCACCTACCCAGCAAGGTCAGCACGCAGGCCAGGATGGCGATGAGGGCGCCGGTGCTGAGCCCGGCCGGCAGGACGTAGGCCTCGGCGTTGCAGGTCTGGGCCACCCCGTCGGCATCGCAGTCACACACGCGGATGGTGAGCGTGTTGGTGCTGCTGAGCGAGGGCGAGCCGCTGTCCACGATGAAGACGGGCAGGTAGTACACGGATTGCTCCTGTCTGCGGAAGCCGTTCCTCCGGGTGAGTATCGAGGCTGTGTTGTCTAGGATGAAACAGAATGCAGGTCTGACACCCGGCCTGATGACATCCGTCTTTCCACACTTTCAGCCCCTCTGTCGCCTCTGACTCATGAAGTAGGGAGAGCTCATCACCTACTCTGTCCGGGATCTTCTGGACGGCATGCTATTCTGGGGATGTCATACAGAGTTGGCTATGTATGTTCTACTGCACACAGCCCGAGAAACAACTCTAAACTAAACGGAGCGTGAAAACTTTTGCATGCCATTTGGCTTGTTAATGCAACTTTATAAAAAAAATTATCTACTGTGTACCGTTTTACTCACCTTACACTTCAAACCATAGCTGAAATTGAATATGCACTCATGTTTTGCTCAGAGAGTATATTCTAGGAAATGTGTCAGGCAATCTCGTTGTTATGACCAAAATTAAAACCTAAGTGATCTCCTCAGGTAACACACATCTGTGAGTTCAACATCACTTCAGTGATAGAATTGTTAACATGCAGAAAGTTATTGTACATGGGTGTGTAGGACAGGAATTATTGTAAAATGTTTAGCAATTATATATCTATATTTATTCTTTCCCTAGCAGCAAGTTTTTAAACATTTTGTCAATAATAAAGCAGGCCATTATATTCAATAATTAACTATTTGATTTCATAAAGCACAGCTACATTAGTTACAAAGATATACAAAGTGAATCCTGTAACTGTGATTTCCAGGTCAGAAATAGATTTTTTTTATAAATGTGAAGTCTTATTAGCTCATTGTCATAGTTAAATAATTAGGAAATGTATGGTATTCTTAGATTAATGAGGACAATAAAGCAAAAAGGGCTTCTCAAGATCCATAATGCCACTCAGTATGCTTTAGTTATATATTCCTCTTGCCAGTCAAAATGATACTTATCCAAGTTAGTTTGAACTAATTTATGGTACTGTAGAAAGACAGGAGGCAAACCTCATTTCTGTCTCAAACAAGACAACACAGCAAGCTAAGGGTAGACTGCTAAAAAATAACCAATTACAGTAATGGATGAGACAGGAATAAAAAAATTAATTTCCAGATTTCTTCTGATGGATTTTTATGTGAAAGAATCTTATTGTTTTGAAATATACTGAACTTGAAAAGATACTCACTGAAAAATTCAACATGGAACTGTTGGTGGTCACAATCTTAGTATACACTTTTACTGATAATAAAATACACAGGGTGATGGCTTCCCTTCCACTGGTTTAGATGCTATAAGTATTTATGATCTGGTACAAAAAGATCTAGAAATTGCTTATTTTTAATGTTGCCTTCACATAACGAGACATCAAAAAAGTGTGCGCAGGCACGTGTGTGTGCTCACATATATGCACACTCAGTGAAGGGAAGAGCATGATCAAGTACAAGCTGAAGGGCCCAGTGTGTGAGAAGGGAGCAGTTATTTCATCTCTCCAGGAACTTGGTAATGAAATTCACTACACTCTGCCTTTGCTCCCCAAGACAGAAGAGAGCCTTGCTCCCTTTAGGGTACAGGCTGAGGCCCTCGACCAGACTCATCTGAGATGTGGTCACTATGGATGTCCTGTACATCCAGGCATTTTTGCACACACATACAGCAATCAGCCACCATAGTGGCATTGGATTAGGACCGTTGAGGGATATATCACATTCCTCCCATGGAGGTCATGTGTTACTGATCTGTGTTTGTATGGGATATGTCCAAGAATCAAGAATGATGTTCTCCATGTACAATTAAGTTAGAGTCTGAGATTCCTCACATAGGGAATGCTCTCTCTTTTCCATAACTAAAGAGACAACAGTGTGGTCTTGCGAAAGGAGAAGGCAGTCAGGGAGAAATTGCTTCTTCCATATGGAAATTTTATGCAAATTTGGCATTTTTTGCACTATTGAGAGGTCCTAAAGAATGGCTTCAGGCCAATAATTTCATAACCTCTATCATCTGACTGAATTTGGCTAACAAAACTATTCATTTGTCCCTAGAATTTGAATCTCAAAATGGCCTGGTAAACAAATTGAACAGATTCTTTTAATGAATACATTATTTTAAAGTCCTTGTAATTATCAGTATATATTAATGAGCAAAACCAGAATTGATTTATTGGTCTTTGTAAAATATTTCTATAAAACAGGTTAGGATATTGCTAAGAGTGATTAACTTTGAAGCAAGTAAGTATGATTTCTTTAATCATTAAATCATTAATGTTTTACTATTATTATTGTTCACATGGGTCATTGTTATTTTCATGAAAAAAATAATTGATGCTACTTTTGTACATTTACATCATGGTTGATTTAATCTGAAATGTGTGATGCTCCATTCTTTTTCTCATGTTTCAAGTTCTGCTTATATCTCACAGCTCTTACTCAACATTTTAGATCACTGGAAAAAAACATGATGAACCAATAATGAGGCGCAAATAAAAGAGGGAAATAGATCTAAGTTCTCCATTTGGCTTTGAGCCTTTAATGGTTTAAATAGTAGCTCCTCCTTCATGACAGAAGAATCTATAAATAAAATTTCTTTAAGGGGCTCATTGCCCTTTCATGAATGTCCTTGCTGTTTCTTAAAAAAATCCATAATCATTATTCCCAAGGGAGATACAGTCCTTGCTTACAGAGTCTTCTGTGTTTGTTGTACACTTGTGACACAATACCGTACCTTTGTTATCTTTCAGTGAGAAGTTTTGGTTATTTGTTGCATCTGTTGTTAAGCTGAAGTAGAACTGGTGCCCATTGGATGGCTCATCCTTATCTACCGCACTGATTTTCTGGATTACCTGGGAATAGGGAGCGGAAAACAGGAAGGCACATTGGTGCATTCTGCTAAAATCTCTGAGGCAGGAGAGAATGGTTTTACAGCTCATCATAAAGGTCATCTTCTTGAGTGAGATAGAGGAAATGAATCAGGTGTACCGATGTGAACCCAATCTACAAAAGGGCTGAGATAAACAAACGATGGCCTTTTCCACATACGGGTGTGAACTTACTTTTGTGAACCTCAAAAACAAGCTGCACCAATTGATTAGACATCCCACTAAACATCACAGACACTATGCAATATAGATGAACAAACCAAGCAGATGCGAAGTGCTCAGTTCTTAGAACTTCAAGGTACCTAACCTCTTTTACGGAATGTGGGAAACAACCACATTTACTATGCTATATTTCTCCTTAAAGAAATCCATGCCCTGAGCCAGTTAATAGGGCTTAAATGATATCTGTCTTCTCTTCCTCAGGAATTTTCATCACTCAATTAAAGCAGAAATGGAAAGTTCCTTTAATATTAGTTTGTGCAACACATCAAAGTATTAGCTTTGCTGAAACAAGTTGATTGTAGGCTCACTTAAAGCCGGGAGATTTCAAAGGAATTGCTGCTGGATAATTTAAAGAAAATCCAAACCAAAGAGAGCGATGTGGCAAGGGCTCCTACCTGCCCGGCCTGGGTGTTCTCGCAGACAGTGGCCTCATAGTCCATGGCGAATTCTGGCGCATTGTCATTAATGTCGAGAATGGTAATGGCCACGTAGCCTCTTCCTACCTGAGACGGATTCTCTGCGAAATTAAACAATCACATTCGAGTTTTCCATTAGAAAAGCTGCATGGCTGATCTTTTGCTCAGAAAATTTATATGAATGAACAAGACAAGCATAGCAACTTATATTGAAAGTCAGGCAAATAAATAGGTCCCGTGTCACAAGACTTCAAATCAGAAGTCATGACAGAGTGTTATTTAAACAGACCGGTAGTCAGATCTAAGTACATAATTTGCGTATGTAATATTTAAGTTACACAAATACCCATGGGGTGTTTGTGCATGTGAATGTAGTCTATGTATATGTATATCTATATGCACACATAAATATATTTAGTTTATGCATATGTGGCATGTAGATGTGTGTATGCTTAGTCCCTGATAAGAAAATTCTTGAATAGAGAATGAACAGTACACCATGCAAGATCAATATTTTTCAGCTAATATCTCATATTTATATGAACATAACTATGTATTATATACACAAGCATTATATAGGTAATGCATTATCTAATACATAGTGCACATACTGCAAAAAATTAATTCTTTTCAATGGTTTTCTCACCAGGGACTAAAAGTCGTTCAACATCATAATATTCTAACCTAGATACCTTGTTCGAGGTTAATTTACTAATTCTTTTTTTTATTGTGAAAATACCGTAAAGAAGGATTACAATTACATGGGCAAGATAATGAGTACATTTCTTGTCAAGCATTGTTGCCTCCTCCTTTGTTTCCCCTTCACATCCCTTCTTATAAAATATTTTGCCCACTCCTTTATCAGCATCAACTCAACATAAGATTTTTTAGGCTTTCTTTATGTATTTTATTTCTTTTTTTTCTTTTTTTACTAAGTTTTTTATTATGAAAATACTGTACAGAGGGGTTACAATCACATGAGCAAGGTAATGAGTACATTTCTTATCAAACATTGGTGCCTTGTCCTTTGTTTTTCCCCTACCATCCTTTCCCTCCTATCTCCACAACTACACTCCCCCTCCCCCGCCGCATCCCCCCAGCCTAAATTGTAAAGCTCGTTTTTCGACATAGTATCTTGTACATCTCATTTGTGCAATGGGTCCACCTGTATCCCTATTTAAGAAATTTGACTGGAACAAAAGGAATCTTCAGAAGATACTTAAGAACCATTATTTTAGTCTTCTCTTTTCAGTAACATTGTCAACATTAGCGAGTAAATCTCGTGAATATAACTACTTTATAGCTCGGTGATTTGGGACTCTTTTTGGATCAGTTCAGTCCTGTAACTAATGCAAGCCACACTGACTTCAAATCTCACAATACTCTGTCTGCACTCTCACTCCCCTCTGCCCTTGTGCAATCTGACCCTCGCGACTTACGGCTTTCCATCGCAAGGACTGTGATGTTATGAACAGCATTTGTCTCCCGGTCCAAAGACTTGGCAGTTGTAATCACTCCACTGTTGGCATCGATATTGAAATATCTCTCCAAGTCTGTGTTTCTGTCAATTGAATACCTAATTGAAAATTAAAAGTTTAGCTTTCATGTTTGATTATGTTTTGTTAAAATTATTTTGTTAATTGCATAGCTAATCACCAATTCCTGCTGACTATGAGATTTGTTAGATTAGGAATAGAACTGCAAGCCTTGTTTAATTTTTCTGCATAGCTGTTGATTCACATTCAAAGTAATATCTTTGCTTTACTGGCAGATGTTTCAAAATGAATTCTAATGCATCGTTATGTTCACTGTAGATTTGAATATGCTATTATATTTAAAATGGCATTGTAAATATATCAATTAATAGTATTATAATTAATATAAAATGGCAATCATTACTGTTTTGTTACTTCTAAAAGCATTTACAGTGGATATTAGTCCTGTTCATGTTTATGGGTCATTCTAAAATCAAACATTCAGCTAGCCTGTTATTTTCATATACTTATACTAATACATATGTGTATAATTTACTGTATTATATAGTTATGCTATTATATATTTTTATGATATTACCATATTTTGTTTTGATAATATCAATCTGGTTTTTAATACCTTTCTATTTTGAGTCTTTCCCTGAAGGTACTTGGCCAGAATTCTAAGACCTGTTACAATAGAGAGCTCTTAAAGTTTGCAGGGCTAGCCAAAAGCCAGTGGCTCATGCTTGTAATCCTTGCTACTCAGGAGCCTGAGATCTGAGGATCACGGTTCAAAGCCAGGAAAAGCAGGAAAACACATGTCTTTGTATCTCCAATAAATCACCAGAAAACCAGAAGTGGCGCTGTGGTTCAAGTGGTAGACTGCTAGCCTTGAGCTGAAGCGCTGAGGGATAGCACCCAGGCCCAGAGTTCAAGCCCTATGACCAACTCCCCCTCTCCCACCAAAAAAAAGATTGTATGGCTAGTTTGGCATGTAAATCTTTCCTTTGAAAGGAAAATACCTAAAATATCTGGAGTACAAATGTTACTAAAAAATTATTCCACATGATTTCTTTTTTCCACTCTTAAAAGTTTCTATTTTTTACTTTCTTCTCATTATTTTCCAGGTTGGGTGGGTCAGAGAAAGGCTCTATTTTAGGAAAAAATAATGAAAAACAAACAAAAGAGATAACTGAAGAAAAATAAAAAACTCTACAGCTATCCAGTTAGACCTGATGATAAGAAACTGACTCAACTACCTCATGAACGTAGAAGATACTGGCCTCAGTCTCTAGGCCACATTGACTCTATGAGAGCTTTGTGTCAATTCAGACATTTCATGGTTGATTATATTTTGTTAATATTATTTTGTTATGAATATGCACTCAGCTTTCTACTTTTCAAACATGCATAACACAAGCTTTGGAAAACAAGCTGGCTTTCCTCTTTTCCCCTCCTTCGAGGAATTCTCATTCCTGAATCTACGATCTACTGATGCATCAAACATCTTCCTGTGTCAGTGTGCCTGTTTTCATATTTTTACTTATTCTTGACAATTTGTATATTGTGTCCCTCATTACTGTATCTCCTTGTTTATATGCCTAGTACAACGTATAATCTTGGGCTTAAATCAATTATCTGTCATGCAATACACCTTAGGTGTTTTGGGTTGGTAATTTGTGAGTGTAACTGTAGTGTGAGGTTTAGGTCTTGATGCTCAAGAAGTTGCAGATAAATGGCGACTGGGGCTATAGGATTTGATGACTTGAATGAAAGCAGGGCATTGATTTCCAAAGTATCTTCTTTTCACAGATGACATGGGAAGGATCAGGGTAACAAACTGGTACTGGAAAGTATGGTTCCTTCCATGACACTGACTGTGTTAAATAATGACAGTTGCTGCTAGAACAAGCAATCTAAGCATAGTACAAGTGTGTAGAGATTGTAAACTTCATGACAGAGCCTTGTAAGTAACACATCATTGTTTCTTTCACGGTTCTTCACTCACAGAGGTCACAGTGAACTTGTAAGTTTAGGAGAATACACTATTTATTAGATTATACTACACAGTCAGTGATATGCTGGACAGTAGCTTTAACACTTTCTCAAAAATTAAATGATGAATGTAAGGCTATTAATGATGTAATGAGGCTATTCATCCTGGAATTTCTGAAATAATTTTTAGCATAAAGAGAATGCCAAAGTATAGGCCAACTGAAGAATCTCTTTCTGATATGCATTCTTGCTAGGATGACTATAGTAATGAATTTACGCTTCCCTGAAAATAATTCTAATGGAAAAGATAACTCCCAATTTTAAATTATATTACTGATATTAAATAGCAGATTTTACTTGCTGTCATAAGATTCTTCAAATTTCAACATATGTGTTGGTCATATAATCATCACTGAAATCAAAAAGTGGAACTGGTTGTTCACTGCGACACTCTACATTACAAACTCTCTCAAAAGCAAGCATGGCAAATACTAATCTATTCTCCACCATTACAGTTCAAACTTGTTGAGACTGTCTTCTAAAAAAAAGTCTTACAGAATGTAAGCTACTGAAGATAACTGCTTTCTTGATGTAAGACAGACTCGTCAAACTTCTGAGCCCACCCTTGTATTTTAATTTTTGAATTTAAGTATCTATCGATTTTGAATACTCAGTGGTATTTGGTGTTAGAGGAGTGTGTCTTCCCAGAACAAGATTCTTTTTGTATCTGTAACTATATGCATACTTTGACTATAAGTTTGTACATATTTCTGCATATACATAATCATGCACGTAAGCATATACTCATAAATATATACTTTTTCTACATATTTACCCAACAAAAAGTGGTATTCATATTCAATAAGATGGTACTAATTCAAAGCCTATGTTCTTTTTTAGAAGTTGAGCCAATACTACAACATTCAGGTGTTCATTTTCTCAAATGGCTAAGTTAATTACTAATATAATAAAAAAATATTCCTAGAAGAATAGACATGTAGATTCTTCAATGCAAAGTTATTGAATTTGACATGTTTCTTTAAAAATGTGCTCATATAATTCCCTAAAGAGCTAAAGCCATAAATAATTTGATTCTATTATCAGTAGCCTCAAAGATTGCAGTATAGAATAAAAGACATTTTACTTGAGAATTCATTTAATATGATAAATGTTTTCAGTCACTCTTCATTGTAGAGAAAGATTACTTTTCATTTGGTATCTAGAAATAACTAGGCCTCTCTGTTTTGAAATTTCTATCATTCAAATATTTATAATTTCTATATCATAAGTACATCAGCCCAGACTTAATAATGTCATGTATCTCTACATAGCTATAATCCTCTTTTATCTTTCACTGTAGAGTATGATCATATGTATCTATCCTTGCATTCATATATATATATATATATATATATATCCTTGCATATATGTAGGGTAATTTATGTTTTATCATGGGTGCTTATCTCATGTCTTTATTTCATTCCTTCACACATTAACTGCTTTCTTCTCAGTGTCAGAAAAAGACATTTTTTTAGGAATTGTTACATAGATAAATAATGTTTAAATGGTCACCTAAATGATAAAGTCTTAGGATGAACCCATTTAATTTGTGTGGTAGAATAGAGTGAGGAATGTTAAGGGAGCTGGGGAAAGGAAAGAGCTTGAGAAACGAATCAAATCCCCTAGGTTTTCCTTCAAAGCTCCTCCATAGCAAGACTTGCTGACCAACAGTATTCAAAGGATCTGCCATTGTGTTTATCAGACCCTGCGGACATGGAAAAAGATCGGAGATGCTGTGTGAAGTTAGCTAACCTATCACAATGACAAAAAGTCACTAGATAGGAAACATAAATAAAATGGAAACATTTTTAGAATGAAATGTATACGTATGTCCATTGTAGAGTAGTAGAAAGGTAGAGTGAAACAAAAGAGAAGAAAACATGTCCCCCAAGTTTGAAGGACTACACTTCTTGTTGCTCTGAATCTCCTTTCCTGGAGCCTGAGAGCTGCTGTTGGCTGGTTAATTGGAAGCTGAACTGGTAGTGAGAAGATAAAGGCTTTCTTAAGTGCTTTCTTAGTCATGAGTGATCCTTTCCTTCCATGCAATGTCTGATGCTGCTCACGGTGGTGTGTGGACCCACAAGGAAGCTACTTACTCCTGCAAATTGAGTCTGGCCTGTGTCAGTGAATGTTACAGACAGCAGTTAAAGGACCACTTCTGTTTCTTTGCAATGCAGTTGAACCGTCCCCTGGTTCTGCAGACAGCCCTATAGAGAAAGGTTCCTCATCAAACCTCTTGTTAAGAGTGTGCATCTACTCCACCAGCCTGCATCGTCCTCTGTTCATGCTTCATCCACTCGAGAGCAGACTCGCCAGCCTTCCCCCAAAATAGTATTTACTTTTAAGTCTTCTCATTTTCACAGTGTACTAAATGTGAACAACATGGTTTAGATTTCTTCCCCTCATTCTCAACAAATGCATAAGGTCATGTGGAACAGAGACTCTTATTTGTGTGCCTAATGTTATTGGACTAAATGCTCTTTACAAAAAGGATGTTACGTGTCCAACTGAAAATGTACATTACCTACTTCTCTTGTGGATATGGTATCTTTATGGCTACGATTTAGATGATCAGAGGTAAATTTGTTTGGTAGAACCTCACTGAAAAACAAGAGTGGAGTCAATATTGGCTTTCTCCTCCTTCTTGTCTCTTTCACCAGAGACAAAAATACAGTAGCAAGAGATTCAGAAGCAATCCTGAAAGTATGGGCTAAATATGCTTGGTTAATAAAGCAAAGTCCCTCATTGGCATTTAGCTGCTGAATTATTCAACACTTCAGATTATACCTACAGACTTCCTAATATGTCATCGGGTTATGTTTTGTTACTACTATAGCACAATTTCTCACCAATGGAAGCAAGCATCATTATTTTTCTATTTCAGTACTGGATTTTGAATCTCACCACTGATAATGAGTGAAAGTATGATTCAAAATGTGTATGTCTGATACATCTTTCCAGTGTTCCTCATAAATATTAGTGAGCTTTTGATCTCTGACACCTAAAATTTTATGATTTACTGTCTCTTCCCTCCCCCATACCCTAT